TCTCTCTCTCTCTCTCTCTCTCTCTCTCTCTCTCTCTCTCTCTCTCTCTCTCTCTCTCTCTCTCTCTCTCTCTCTCTCTCTCTCTCTCTCTCTCTCTTCTCCCTCCGTCTCGTCCGTCCGGCGAGTTCCGCCGTAGCCGGGATTCTCGGTATCGCGCTTCAGGCTCGCTCTCGTCGCCTGAAAATTCGTCGTCGACGCGTCTCGTATGACGCGCGGGTGCGTTTCCCGTAACGGCGACGGCTATCGCGCGATATTACGCTCGCACGTAACGTAGTGCACGGTGCCTTCCTCGCCGTCTCTTTCTTCCTCCCCTCCCTTCGCCCGCTCCTCCCTCCTCGCTCTCTCTTTCTCTCTCTTTCTCTTTCTCTCTCTCTCTCTCCTTCCTTCCACCTTCGTAACGAGATTACGCTGCTCCTCTGCTCAGTGCATCTTCGCGGCCTGGAACGCGCAACGGTTCTCTCCCCGGTGTCTCGACGAGCGCGCTGTGGGTGGATATGTGCGCGAGTACAATGACGCTTTTGCACGGTGCGATTGATCACTCTGCGGCGAGGCCGTCGGCGCCGCTTGAATGGAAAGTGCACTCCCGGCACGCCGGACGCGATTGAGCGACGAAATGGTGGTGGTCCTCTTTCACGTCGCCGCCGCCGTCGCCGTCGCCAGCTGTGGGCGGATTTACCGGTTCGGCACCGTCGCCGATTCGCTCGGCGATCCTTGACGACGCCAGCCGCGAACGAGAGAGTAAGTCCCCGACACTCGGTCATCTCGCGACCTCCGGCGTACGAGCCCCGCGTATCATCCCCGGCTCCCAAGATCCATCCCGCTCCGATCGTCGACCATCCTCCGCGCGAGATTACACCCGCGGCAGCGCCACGAGGACCGTGTTACGCGCAATTACGTGCGCCATCCCCCGACGGCCACGGGCGCATTTAAAAGGGTTTCTCTGTTACACCTCGCGACGCCACGCGATATTAAAAGCACACTGTTATACGGCTTCGCTCGGCGTGATTTAAGTATAATGTAATCTCGGTTTAACCGCACGATTCCTCCATATCTCTCTTTCTCTCCCACCCACCCTCCCTCCCTCCCCTGTCTGTCTCTTTCCTTGGAGCGTTATCTCCGTCAGAGATACAATCGCGGCTAATAGGATCGGGCGGCGCTGATGAGGCCGATGATTAATCGTCTTTGTTCGTAGTTTCCTCGATCTCGATCAGGAACGGGGGTTGGGATCGGTTCCGCGAAAATATCGCGTCGTGACGGCGTTACTCGCGCATCCCCCGCTCCTCCCCCGCCGAATCGAGCCGTGCCACCCCGACGGCCGAATCCGCGGGTGTATTTTTGGCCGACGGAAAGTTCAAAGTTGAATCACTCGCGATCGACGATAAGATTATGACGCTGCGCGCGCATGCACGTCCACACGGCTCTCGTCCCTCTTTCTCTTCTTCTTCGTCGTCTTCTCCTCCGGCGCGCGATCCCCGAATATATTCATAGTCGGGTTCATTGATCCGCCCGATCAGGTTTATCGCGGAGCGCAGTTTCAATATTTTGACCGGGCGGCTGCTTATTGCTCGCACTCAACGTCAGCTGTTCGGTCTTTACGCGAAAAGATGTAGGTCTGGATAGATCGCGCGGAGAATCAACGGGAAAGAAAAGTGAGACTAAAGTTCCTCGGATGAATAATAGTCTCTGAAACGAGCGAAGCGAGCCCCGCTAAAATTGGCTCGCCCGCAAGTTATTCAAAGAAGCCTGGTACAGATTCACTCACGCTAGAGTACAAATTTTCAGAATCTGTTTTCAATTCACCTTTGCCGCGGCAGACTATGAACTACACGGAGAGAGCCTGCTCTTAAAATTTACCCCGAGAGTCATGTAATCGTGGGTCAACATGGCGTTTTGAAGAACTGTATGACGGTTTTTTTAAATTCACCAGGATGCCATATTGTCTTACGTGGTGCATGATTTTCAGAATAAATTTTGAGAGAAAGAAATTACAGTTTTTTGAAACTTTACCATACATTCTACTAGTAAAATGCATGATAAAATTTCCAAAAACCCTTATAGAATTCTTCAAAATGCTATGTTGTCCCACGATGACATGATTTTTAGAATAAATTTTGAGAGAAAGAATTTACAGTTTTTTTGAAACTTTACCATACATTCTACTAGTAAAATGCATGGTGAAACATTCGAAAACTCTTATAAAATTCTTCGAAATGCCACATGTTGTCCCACGATGACATGATTCACAGAATAAATTTTGAGAGAAAGAAAGTTTTTGAAAGAAAATCTTTTGAAACTTTTCCATACATTCTATTAGTAAAATGCATGATAAAATTTCCAAAAACTCATAAAATTCTTCGAAATACCATATTGTCCCACGGCTACATGATTCTCAGGGTAAATTTGAAGAAAAAATTCTCTCCGTGCGCGATGCACGAGAGACGCGTTCCAACCACACGCGTGCGGAGAGAGGGAGCGTCGCGGATTTGATATCGCTGATCTCAATTCGCGGGGAAAGGGGCGAGACGTAGACGGTTTTCGTAGCGTGGATCGTTGAAGACGGCGCGGTCGTAGACGGTTTATCGGTTGTTACGCGTACCGATACAGATTTACGGTCGAGGCTCGCGTTATCTGCCCCGATTGTCGAGCGGTAAGCCGGAGGTCGTTGTGTAATCCGAGCGGCCGATCGCGATCTACGATCTGCGGAGCTGCGTGCGCGACGGCGACGATCGCGAGGAGCGCCAATATTGGAACACATGGTATCGCGTGAGAAGCGTGCGCCGCTTTCCGATAGTATAATCTCGCAGCGCAGAATGACTCCACATGGATTTAATCGCGCATAGGACGTTGTCTCTCAAGATGCGCAATCTCCCGAGAGTCCAGCGGCGTAGCCGCCTATCGAGTTTCATAAATTTTTCAACCGACTCTTGAGTTTAACGCCGGGAAGCTTCACCTCGTTCGTTCGTCAAATTCAATTTTCATTAGCGGGCGAAAATTGACATATCCCCGTATGTGCCGTATAAATTCTGCAATGGCGCGTGAGAGATAATCAATAAGTCCTCTACCTGAGTTTAATAGCATCAATTTACGTTACCGAGAGCTGAAGTAATGAAAAGTTAAAAATATCGAACCGTACAAAATTATTTCGTGTCTTGTGTCAACTCGGACGAATTACTCCGGACAGTCGCGCGTTTTCGATCGGTGGAAACGACCCGGTGTCTCGTAACGTGTAATAATACATCGGGGGAAGAACGTGGAGTTGATTCTGCCTTTTTACAGAGCTTGCACTTGCAAATTTATGAGATTACGTCGCGCTCTGAATCGAAGGCGAAGGGGGGAAACGGACGGCGCTCGGTCTCGATTCCGCCGAAAAATGGACGATCTTCGTCGCTCACGGATCACGATAAGAGGCGCTTTTCGTCCTTTTGGAGCGATTTCTATTCGACGCCCGGATCCGCGCTTATTATTTCGTTACGTTGTCACGCGTCCGCCCTAAAATTATCCCCCGCCTCGCACGCGGACGTGAGCCTGACACACGTTGCTCGCGCTGCGCTGCAAATACAAGTGTGCAATGTTTACATACGCAAGTGCAAATGGTAACGTGTGTATAATTGCGAAGCCCTTTCTGCCTCATTTATATGTGTATTTTTACGATTTCACACACTTATACACTTGGATTTTTTACGCATTTGTACGCGCGTTTTACGATTTCGCACACATAAACGCGTACAAATGCAAGCGGGTAATTTTTACACGCTTTACGATTTACGCACTTGTCGTTAGATTTGGAGTGCGGGGTATAGGGAAGTCTTTGGTACTTGGAGACGCGTCTCTCTGGGTCGCGAAATTATCTAATTGTATTTCTTCACTCGTATTGGCATGCAGCAGCACTCCTGCTATAATGTCAACCTTAAAAAATAATCTTTTTTTAAAAATAGGTAAAAAGAGACGTCAAGTATAAGCGCCATCCAATCAGGAATTATATAACTTAATTATTTGTATATATTTTGTTGGAAAAAGAAAACAGTTTTATCCTCTACAAAAGTAATGATATCGTCGAATGGCGCCAACTAAAATGTATATTTATATAAACTAGATACTCTATTATATTGGCATGCAGCACCCCTGCTGTAAGGACAGGAAGTTTATGCATTTAAAAATGTTCGATTATGCAAGAAATTTTACTGAAATTATGCAAAGTGTTTATTGAAATTATGCAAAATTATGCGGCCTAAAATAAGTTGAATTTTAATGTGTATCTTATTTCTTAGTATGTATTTTAAATATCATTATTGCTTTTAAAGCAATAAATGCATAAACTTCCTGTCCTTAGTAATGCCAATAGATTGACGCGAAATTGTCCGGGAATGGTTTCACGAAACTTACGAAACGTCCCCGCGAGTTTTTCGAATTCGATAAATTCGTAACGACGTTCGCTCGCCGCGATCGGTCTCTCTTTTTTTTCCCTCAGGAGAAACGCTTTTCGGAATTATTTCTCTACGTCGAAGAGAATTGCCGCAAAGTCTCAGTTTGTCCCGAGGTATTTTCCTCGGTTTAATGGCCAGAACTATTTGTTTAGCCTGTCAACAGCTGCGGAACTCGGAGAAATAAGGCCACTATTCTCAATAGTTTCCACGAAACCGCGATACGTCAGCTCCGTACCAAAAAGTCTCCGCGAGCGGTCCTCCCTCTCTCCGTCCCTCTTTTCGCCACCTCTCCGCCCGTCGTTTCTATGCGGAACGGATGCCGCGTGGTTTACGAAGGTTCACGTACGTGATAATCGGTTATTGGTTCGCGCCGTTATCAGCGACTACTGTGCGCAACGAGAGCGCGTGTTACTCCTTCCGGAGAGCGGATCCTCCAACCCTATCTGCGATCGATTACATTCGATTAGCACCGTCGAAAATAATTATCGGCGTGTTTGCACGAGTGGCGAGATTATAGCGGCATTATCTCGGGCGAATCCGCGAGATCCGCGCCCGAGATTTCGGCACGTGTTGACGACTCGCACCGGCTTACGCGGCTAATTCGCGAGCGTTAGCCTTTCCCTTTCGCTGCCGGTGTGTCTCGAACGGGCGCGGATCCACGTCGGAGTCCTCGAATCATCCACGAAGTCCCGACTGCGCCGTGTGCGATAAAACACGTCGCGTTATTAATTGTATCTCCATATTATACTTATATGTTATAAACAATACCAGAGCGAGATAATGGAGTATCGAGAGTGTTTCGTTATATTCGCCTTATATAATTGCACGTCCGAGCGGTAATATCGTTAATTTAAAAGAAAAACGATTGAATGTCACAAACGATTAAATGCAACAAAACGGATCTTTGTTGCTTTTTTCCCCCCAATCGCATTTATTCAGCAAAATCCGCGCTCTGTTTCGCAATTAACTAATTCAAAGCGACGATTCGCGTCCTTAAATTTATCGCAGACTCTAAACCCACAATCTCAGTCGGCACTCACGTCTTGAAAAGAAAAAAAGAAATTTGTTTAACGCACGTGCGGTTCGCACAGGGTAGATCTGTTTCCTTTTGTCGCGCTTTCCACTTTTGCCCGCTTTGTTCTCCTTTCTTCTTCCCGGTTGCCCAGCTGTTACAGTACTTATTAACTCTTCAGCCATATCTTTTTTTTTTAATTTCTGAAAGCCTCTTAAACCCGCGAGCATTAGAAACCAGATAAATACAACTGCTAAGATTTTACAACAGGCAAATTCTCTCAATGAATTTATTTAATCGTT